CAGGGCTGTGTCTTCACCTGAAGAGAGGAACTGAAAGATTCCCTCCAAGCCAAGCACCTTTCACTCCCTGTTCCTCCCTGGTGTGGGTACCTGGGATGTGAGCAGGAACACTCCCCGAGGCTGCAGCACCACAGAACAGCTCAGTGCTCCTTCAGCCTCTCCTTCTCACCCCTCAGTGCACTGGACAAGGGGGAGAGAGGGATTCAGAGGAATTAGAGCCAAGGAATGCCTGGAAAGCTCAGTCTCTTGGTCCCTCGTGCTGAGCACCATCAGTCCCCCCTTGCTCCCAGGGTAAGGGAGTTGTGCCTCCACCTCCAGCCACAGCTCGCTGGAGAAAGTCTCTTGTCAAAGGGAAGGAAGGTGCTGCAGCCCCCTGGCCTGGAAAGGATTCCCAGGTCACAGGATCCCCTGGAATTGCTGTGCTGCTGCTCCTGCCCAGCCCCTCCTCACGCACCACGTTCCACTACAGGCAGGTAAAGCTATTTTTGCTCCTCCAGCTGCACCTGTTCTATTTTCTGAACTCTTTGCTCATCACAGAGAAAAAAAAAAACAGGACTTTTTGGTGCACAGTGATCCAAACTCTGACGCCAGACAGGCCCAGCAACCCCCTGCCTGAAAATAGCACCGAGTAACTCAGGGAGAGCCTGACAGGTTCATTCATCACCACCATCCTGACACTCAAACCACTATTTTAGTGCTCCTGAGACAATCCCCGATTGTTCTCTGCTCCTTTTGGGCTGTGATATTCGACTCACAACTGGGAAAACAAACAGCCCTGTGCCAAGTTCAGGGTTGTACCTGGACATGGAGCAGAGCTGGGCTGGGGGACGTTCCCGGAACATCCCGGGGTGTTTTCCTCTCATCCCAATCCCAGCTAATCTCCTTTCTGCATTACACAACAGCCCCGCGTAATCCCAAATTTACCACCCCGTCCTGGTTTCACAGAGGGAGCTCACGCCTCGTCTCTGCCCCTTTCGTGAAAAGAAACTTGGTCTGTCTTCCCACGATCCTGGAAAACACGTGGATGTCGCACTCGGGAAACTCCGGGATCCTTCCGGAGTCCTTTCCTCGGGATTCTCCCGAACACAGCCCATGGTCGCTCCGGCATCCAAGCAGCTCCTTGTTCTTTGTATCAAAAACACCCTAAAAAGGCTCACTGGGACTGGCACGGGGAAGTCGATTCCCGAGTGCGGAGCGAACCCCGACCCGGGGCGGTCCCGGGGCAGGACGGGGCTGTGAGCTCAGATCCCCCGGGATCCTCCTGCTTCCCGAGCGCTCGGCACACACCCCGGGCGATGGAACACTCCATGTTCCCAGCATTCCCTTCAGGTGTTCCCTCCTTTTAGTCCTTATCCCGGCCCCGCAGAGCAGGTGATTTAACTCCTTCCCTCCTCCCCCCTCCTGGCTTCGCACCTTCAGTACCCCAGAACTGGAGTATTTTACTCCACGTTCCCATCAACCCCTTTACATGTTCCCTCGTTTTAACCCTTTTTCCAACGAGCACCTTCTCCCGACCCCGCAGGGAAGATTTTCCCAAATTCCTTTTCGATTATCGCTAAAAATACGGAGGGGGGAGGGGAGCGCGCCCGGACCCCGGGAGGGGGAAACTGAGGCACGGAGGGGCCTGAGGGGAGCTGAGGCAGGGCAGGGGGCCGGGAAGGGGGTTTTGGGGGCTGTTTCCTCCTCACCTCACCGGGAAGCGGCTCCCTCCTCACCTCCGCCCTCTGACCT